CAGCCTGGGCTACCTAGTGAGTTGCAGGTCAGTCTCAACTACACAGTGAGACCCTGTCTCAAAAAAACAAAACAAAACAAAACAAAACAAAAAAACCCTTCATTGAGTGGACCAGGAATCTTGGCCCAAAAGAGAAAACCCTGTGTCCTGGCTCCTGGGGCCCTGGAGTGCTCAGTGGCCAGTGTGTCCCACCCATGATGTGTCACCTCACAGGCCCGACGAAGCTCTTCAGAGGTGGCACTTGAATTTTCCAAAAGTTCAGGAATCCCTTGTCCGCAGCTCAGCTCTTCAGTGGGGTGTGCGGATGCGTTTGAACAATAAAACTCGGGGAAGTGTCAGAGAGATAGGAGGAAGCTGGAGACTGGGTGGTGTCCAGCGGAGCTCTGAGGGGTGAATTTGGAGAAGATGAGCATGAGGGCAAAGCCATTGCGCTCACGAGGCAGAGGCGCACAGGGAGGGCCTGGGTGGGTGGCAGGAACCTGGGCTGAGGTAGCTGGGGAAGGCAGAGCCATGGGGAACCGGCCCTGCCTAAAGATGAGGCTCACTTGGCCTGGGGCCGGGAAAAAGGATTTGAAGCAGGGGTGCCTGGGTCAGTTGTCTGTTCTAGGTGGATCTGCCGGGTGATTTCCTGCCAAACCTGCGCAGGAGCTGAGGCCCCAGGCCTGTGGACGCGGAGGAAGATGATGCTAGCGGAGCAGCTGTTTGGGGTCAACTTAGCACACAAGGAAGATCGGCTGAGGAAGAAAGAGGCGATGAGGACTCCTCCAGGCAAACCCATTTCTGGGCTCCACGCTCCGCCCTGGGCTTGCGCTCACTGGCGGCCTCTCTGTGGGTTGGGCTTGATCGTGACTAATAAAGTCTTCCAGTTTGGCCTCAGTCTAGGTCTACACGCCTTCCCGGGATGTAAACCCAACAACCCAGACGTTTACTGTGAAAGAAACTCTTGGCGTCAGAACGCAGAAGAGAATTTGCTTGCCACCGGGGATGGGATGGAAATGCCTTCCTGGGCGTCCGCATCGCCAGACTGCAAACAGCCACTTCCTGATAATGAGAGAAGGACAGAAGGCATTAAAGACATCCAATAGAATGACTCGACGACTTACCCAAAAACATATACCACGATTCCCACCATACGTTATGATATGGATGAGTCAGAGACAGAGCTAAATTTAGGCTTCCCCCCCCCCACCCCTCGGTGTCAGAAGCTTCCCCTTAACTCCAAGGAGGAGGAAAATGCTGACATGAGCAGTCTCTGACAGCGCTGGGACTGAGCTCTCCAGCACATCGGGATAAAAACGGCTCCAAGGATCGCCCACCAGCAAGAAGACTGAGGCCAAAATGGCTCAGGGTCCCGGGTGACGAGAAATAAAAGGAAGACACGTGCATGATGAGCCAGGGCTTTTGGAGGACAGAACACCTGGAATGTGGGCGCAGTGATACTGGAAGGGGCCTCACCACTGGGGACATCAGGGGAGGGCCACACTGTAGGAGTCAGTGACCCAGATGAGGACAGAAGAAACACAGGGCTGCAGAGGACCGTCGCTTAAGTCACCAGCTAGAACAGGAGCGGGACAGAGCTCCAGGGATCAGAATGGCAGAGCTGGGATAAGAGATGGAGCTGAGAGTCAGTAACAGAGCGAACCAGGCAGGCCAGGCTCTTGCAGGTTAAGAATCAGTTTCCCTGAGTTCCTGCTCTCGGGCCTGAGTGGTCACAACCCGCTGGTGCATGCTGGCCTTTGAGGGAGCTACATGCAGGCGCATGTGTACCAGTGCCTCTATGACAGTTCCTCTCTGCCATCTTATCTGTCTCTGCTATGGGACAGCAGACCAGTCTTTCTCAGCATCTCAATATAAATCATGGTCGGCTGAATGCCGCGGCTAAATGTCCCAGCAGGCAGCTTGGTGGATGGCAGCTCCTTTGCTCCTTCTCGTCTCAGGGACAGTTACTGGTATAAATCACAGGCAGTGTCTTGATTTCTCCTCTGTGAATACAGGCCGGAGTGAATCAAGAAGACTTGTTGCTACGCAGAGTGGTGGGAATAGGGGCCACCTGGAGGCCGAATAAAGACTTTGCTAACTGTGCCACAGCACCCAAGCCACCCACATCAACTCAGGTGCCCGACGTGCTCAGCAGTGCACTGGGGCCAGGGGGAAAATAATCGCCACACTAAAGTGCAAACTCTGAGAGGCTGGGGCAGGAGGATGGCAAGTTCAAATGCAGCCTGGGCAACTGAGTGACTTAGCAAGACTCTGCCTCAAAATAAAAAAAAGAAAAACATTAAAGGCTAGGAGCATTGCTCTGGGCAAAGGCCTTGGGATCAATCCCTGGAACCAGCCATTAATTAGGTAAATATCTGCCTCAGAGGAGCAGGAACAATGTAACATGAGACTAAGAGTTAGGATATAAGGATCACGGGCAAAGAACGCTGCGCTTATTCATAAGCAAAAGATCAAGAAGAGAAGAAAACAATATAAATAACAAGGTACCAGCCTCTACTTATCAGTTTGTCAAAAACTGGTGTGGGCATGGGGGTGTGAAGGCCAAAGGTAAGTTGGCAAGAATCTAAGGGAAAAAAAAACAGTTTCATATATTGTACCAGTCACCTTTCCATTGCTGGGACACAATACCTGAAAGACACAGTTGAGGAGAGGATGGGCTCGCAGTTTTAGGAGCTCAGTCCAAGGTCAGCTGGCTCCAAGGCAGGTACATCATGGGGGATGGGCCTGGCAGGGGGAAGCTGCTTGCCTTACAGCAGCCAGGAAGCAGAGACAAAGAAGGAAAGGAACAGGGGACAAGCATACACCCTTCCAGTCGGGCCCCCAGTGACCCACATCCTCCATCCAGGCCCCACCTCCTGTGACAGCACTTTGAGCTGTGAACTCATCCGTGGACTAATCCACTCTTGAGTTCAGTGCCCTTGTGATCCAGTCATCTTTGCAAAGCTCCACTCTGAACACATGAGACTTTCAGGAGACCCTTTTGATCGAAACCATAACGTATACCATCACATAGGGTAATGGAGCAATAATGAGTCAAAAAATTTAAATATTCATCCTTTTCACCAACTATGAACTAACCTTAGGGTTTATCATCAGTGCCTGAAAGGACAAGGAAGGGCTCGAAGATGTGAGTTGAAGGATGTTCCTGGTAATGTTTTACAAGAGAGTAAATAATTAAGTGGGAAAGGAATAAAGTATTATAAATAAATTAAATGAGAATGTTCTGGTTAAGGAAATTATAACAGAACAATAATGAATGTGCCATACTCGAGAGTGATCGTTGTTCTATGCATCTGGTGTTATAAGATATATATTTGGTATTAAGTACAAAAATGACTGGCTTGCAGTCTCAGGTATGCGTAGGAAAGATATTTATATCAATCAAAAAGGGATTATATTTCCATATCTATAAGTAGTCACACATGTAGAACTGGGCCTAGAAAACTGTTCACACAAGTGTAATAATAGTCATTTCCTCTGGCCATGGCATTATGAGAGAACTATATTTGTAGATTTATAATTTTCCAATGTTTGCTGAAGTTTTATTTTGTTTTCTTTTTTTTTTAATTTTATTGAGTTTATTGGTACATTTTAGGGATACAGTACAGTTACATTCATTGTTGGGATCATGTACCTTTACATGGCAAGTCTTGATTCTAATTTTTTCCCCTTACCTCTGCCCTCCCTTCACCCCCTCTCCCCCTCCCCATATTTTGTTTTACATTTCCTCTGGCCATGGCATTATGAGAGAACTATATTTGTAGATTTATAATTTTCCAATGTTTGCTGAAGTTTTATTTTGTTTTCTTTTTTTTTTAATTTTATTGAGTTTATTGGTACATTTTAGGGATACAGTACAGTTACATTCATTGTTGGGATCATGTACCTTTACATGGCAAGTCTTGATTCTAATTTTTTCCCCTTACCTCTGCCCTCCCTTCACCCCCTCCTCCCCTCCCCATATTTTGTTTTCTTTTTGGTATTTGGTTGTTTGTTTTGCAATATGAGGGATTGTACTCAGGGACTTATGCATGCTGGGCAAGTGCTCTGCCACTGGGCTATGTCCTCAGACCTTTTTATTTTTTGTTTTGATACAAGGTCTTGCTAAATTGTCCAGGCTGGACTTGGATTCATGATCATTCCCCTCAGCTTCCTACTGAATTTTAGAAATAATGGGCATGTACTGGTTTCACAATCAGATAAAAAAAAAGGCTTCAAAAGAAGTAAAATAATAACAGTCAATGTTTTAGTCACTATTCATGGTAGGAATCCAAGGAAATTAAGGAAACTCAGATAACTGTGAAGAAATTAAAGACAGCTCCTCAGTAAAGATGACCATCAGCTTCCAAGCCATGTTTTAATTAGGACAGGTTCTGTCTGTATCAGTTCTGTATGTATCACTCTGGCTTGAAAACTCAGTAGGTTATAACCCATATCTTGGTTGAAATAAGATGTTTTTGGCCCAAAATAGATAAGGTTATAATCCCATCCAAAGTGATGACTTCAAAAGACTTCCAAAGGACCCAGAAAAGTAAGACAAAGAAAGATACATGAAATCTATTTAATTTTTTGGAAACCAAAATGACTACAAAAATATCAGCTCCAAAAATACCCCCACAAAAAGCTTCAATGGGGGAACTAGAAAGCAGAAATTGGGCATATGGATGTCAAAAGCCCAGTGTCAGAGAGGTTTTGGAAGCTAGTCGTGCGTCACCCATTATATATCCAAGATCAGTGAGCCAGGAGCTCACTGCCAAAAGCCACAGGAAGTTTTGTAATGCCCTAAAAATCTCTTTTCCATGACTGCCTAATAAGTTAGCTTTAATGTGAAAATTTTCATTCATCTTAATGTTGTGAATGTTTTCATTCATCTAACCATTGGTGACCAAATTCTGACCTGTGAAAAAGAAAGAAGAGAGATACAGCTATGGTCATTCCATTCTACTAATTCGTGTCTAAGAAATGTTTTACCCAAAGATGTCTTTTCTTCTCACCTCTAGGACAAGCACAAAGGAGAAACAACAGCAATGGCCAAGTTGACAGAATCTATGAGTGAGTGACTTGACTTTTATTACTTATGTTTGGTTTTCAATGAAAAAAATGCAAAAATCACACAAAAATGACGTCCCTTTGCAATTATTTGGTTTGTTCTTGATCTTTCACTCTTGCAGTGGCCAATGTCTGTTTGATGTAGCATATTGTGTTGTGTTGATGTTTCTTTATGTATTACTCAAAACTTGTCTGGCTTGGGCGCAAATATCTGCACTAGAGCTATCACCCAGCCTAAAGACCTAGAGAATGAAATGGGTCGTATTTGTAGCACTGCATGGGGGCTCAGAAACCACAGTAATTTCAACTTGACTTTTAGGAAGTGTAGTCTAAGTCATTGAAGTTTTGTGTATATATTCCATGGACTGCATGATCTAAAGAAAGGAAAGTACGGTGAGCTGTTGTTAAATTTTCCAGATGTTGATCAGAAATTTAAGACAGAACTACCAAAAGGGGAATGCTTGAGGCGTAAGTAGCTTGTAATGATTTAGGTTTTGAATATGTCAGTGCTATAATGCTCTAAGCCCTTCAGCTAACCATACGGGATACACAAAGCATTTTAAGAAGAAAGGGGAATTAATTATAATAAATCATCCAACAAATGAGAAATGTAATTTCCTCTGTTGAAGTTTAAATATTAGAGACTGTGTGGATATGGAAAAGCCAGCAATCCAGGTCACTTCCTTTGAAAATGCACATTGCTCCTGGTGACAGATACCATATGGAAAGGTACGGGGGACTTGCAAACTCTTCTGCATTATCTTTGTGGCGATGAATACCTTTATTCAATCTGGCTCTTATATTGAATTAATCTCACCCACATTTAATGGTGCATCTGCCTTCTCCTGTTATTCCTCAGCTCATAAGGCTCTTAAATGCCAGTGTTTCTACGTATCACAGTCTGTGAATCTTTATCCCTGATACCTGCCCCTCCCCTAGGTAAGGTAATGTTAATTCTTTTGTGCATTGCATTCCTCTAATCCCCAACCCCAAACCTCTGAGTTCTTGTAGTCCTGACTACATGCTAATTTCACCACGTAAACAATGGCTCAGAGGGACAACACAAGGAACGCTCCCTCTAGGTACTGGCACTCCTGTCTTCTGCCTTTACTTCTCTGTCATCTCCTGCCTTTCCTCCTCTCTCTCCCTCCCTCTCTGTTTCCTTCTCTCTCTCTCTCTCTCTCTCTCTCTCTCTCTCTCACATGCACACACGTGCGCGCATGCACACACACACACACACACACACACACACACACACCTACCTCTATTCTTATAGACTGAGAAATGTTAAAAGGATTTAATACTTGGTTTGAAGAACTCCAAACTGGGAGCCATATGGCCCAGTCCAAAATTGGGTCTTTTTAACTGGAAAAAAAAAGTTAAAGTCGTATATGCTGTACACTTGTCAGGCATAGCATAAAACAGTAAGGTTCCGGGGACTGCCATAGATCTTAGGAGCTTGTATTGTCAAAATGTGGAGCAGAACCATGGACAGCGCCAACTCATTTGCCATCCGCAGCCCTGGAACAGATTGTATTTTCTAAATCTGAGTGACCAGCGGAAGTGACCCACAGGTTCTCTGAAACCTAAAAGTATCAATGGCTTTCAGCCTACTATTATTGACTAGGAAGATAGTCTTGAATGTCTGGGTGAACTAAAACAGATGAGTTGCACATGAGTTGTGAGATTAAAAGTTACACGGCTTCTGTTGGCAGTTGATAATTCCGCTGCAGTGAATATTACTTCTGAACTCATGTAATTGGATTGTAAATGATTACAGGAGCTGGATGGGTCGATATTTCTGATAAAGGCATTTTAGTTTTTCGATCTATGCTGAAATTTGGATTCCAGATGCATTTTAATAAGAGTTCCTCACTTCACTCCTGCTTCATTGGCTTTCGATTCAGGTTTGTCTCTGCGATCTAATGACTTTGGTCTCTGAATACATTGTCTTAGGAAAACATGGCCAAAATTTAATTCCAAATCCCTGGGTAAATGAAGGGGTACAGCCATTCTTCGAAGTTGCTCTGTCTTTAAGGAAAATATCATGTAGATACGTTCACTGTGAGGTGACCTGTAAAGTTTAAGAATAGACCTCAGATTCATACTCAGATACCAGTACAGTGACTCCCAAGAAGATGTAGGACATTATGAAATATGTGAGACTTGCAGTGGCTTTTCTAGGTGCTGTGAACACTAACCTTGTGGCCAGCACTCATAAACATGTTGTTAAAATTTAATTCCCGAGTAAGGAAACCTGGACCTACATATTTAGGCCACAGAGGATGTCTATAAGGAAATAATTACATAATTATGGAAGGAGGCTCCATCCTCAAGCTGAGCAAAGACTGAGCATAAAGTTACCACTCTGTAAAACTGATGAGAACATCAAATCCACAGCCACCAGAGGAAGAGGACATGAAAAGAACCACAAATGCCCAGGACAGAGTGCTCTGAATAGGTTTCCAGAGCTAGTAAACACTTCGCTTGATAAACTGCCAAGCAAAGCCCATCTGGTTACCAGAACAACACTCTGTTTAACCAGAACTGGTAGTGACTCCTCTCCTGTCACCATACATGTCTAAGTACTGTCAACTGCTAAGCAAATATCATGCCTTTGTTTTCTAGAGCTGGAATGCAAAGTATTCTTTTCCCATGACATTAATCAACCACCTCAAAAAAAAAACCTCAACTGCAGTCATTTCTCTAAAGGACAACCAGGAGACATAAAAATAATAACAGATTTTTAAATGTCTAATTAAAAACAACTTTCTTTATAAAAATATTTTAATACTTTTATTTCCATTATCCAAATAGGGAGGGTGTGATAAAGAGGAAGAAATAAAAAGGAGGAAGGAAGATATGGAGGATGAGAGAAACAGAAAAAACATATAAGAAGAAAAAAATATATATGTGTGTGTGTAAAAAGGCCTAGAAAAGGGTCTATTAAGGAGACAGCCAGAGTCACAAGAAGCAGCCACAAAGCGGGAAGCAAGGAAGGAGAAGTGGTGAGCAGAGCTAGTAACAGAAAGAGATGCCAGGGCCTGAGAATTAGCAACCACACATGCGGTGAACCAGGATGGACCTGGGACCTTCTTCTCACACGGCCCTTTGAAAGCTTCATCTGTTTGCATCCTTGAGATGGACATTTTCCATTTAGATCCCCAGAAACCCTGGTTAAATGGGGCACCAGGAAATCCACACTGGCGTAAGTCGCTCTGAGCCTGCCCTTGGGTGTCCCTCACTTTCCCACCTTCTGCAAGCCCGCGGGGAGCCTCACCTGGGAGGTGGCCAACCCTGTCCGTACACGGGCGTGCGTGGACCTGGATGTCCTGAGCCCTGGATTCCAGGTCAGAGAGCAACAACCTGGAGGTGTCCAGAGACACGCAAATAGCTGGGGATCTAGAGTCAGGGTCAGCACCTCTGCAGGCTGTTCCTACTTTTGCTTCTCTTTTTTGTTTCTTTCCCTTTTTCTCCAGTACTGAGGACTGAACCTAGCCCTTTTTTAATTTTTTTATTTTGAGACAGGGTCTTGCCAAATGACTAAATTGTCCAGGCCAGGCTGTGACCCTCCTTTCTCAGCCCCCCAGAGTGCTGGGATTACAGGCCTTCCCTATCTTACCAGGCTCAGATTTCTTAGGAAATTCACTTCATGGCCAATACGTGCTACTGTGCCCCACACCATGCCCCTGCCTAAGGGCTCCTGGACCCACATCAAATAGGGCCCCGGTGGTTTCTCACAGGGTCTGCATCAAAGTCACCTATTCAGTCCTGTGCACAGGACCACAGCTGCAGGGCGGCAGGTAGGGAAGTTGGGACCAGTCCCTTCCCAAGGCTGCAGGGCCCCTTCCCCAATCAGTCGCATGTAGACAGCAGGTTGCTGCATCAGTGAGGGGACACCCCAGTTTCTAGAGGCTCCCTCTGAGCTCTGCGGGCAGGAGGAGCTGACTTTTGCTGCTCTCTGCCTCCACCCAGCCGGGCTCCCCTGAGCACACACACCTCAGCCTCTCACTTTTCCTGCCAGAGCGGCCCTGGGCCACACTCATGAGTCATTCCGGCCAAGCCACCCCCTCCTGTCACAACCATAACGTGTCACCTGGGAAAGAGCACAGCAACTTGGCGTCATTTCTGAATAGACAACAGAATGTCCTCGTTACTCAGGTGATCCAGGCACTGAGTCCTTGCCCCACTCTGAGAGAAGGAGACGATCGCTCCTCACCGCCCACACCCACGGAGCTGCTCTGTGAGGTGTTCCACGGGTCTGACTGTTTGCTTTAAAGCAGAGGGAATTCCTCCAGTGCTTAGAGAAACAGCTTGAATTTAGCACTGATCTGAACTTTTCTTCTGTCGAATGAAATGAGGAGAGGGAACCAGTTAAATTGCCACACATTAAATCAGCTCTATTCAAGCAAAGTGGTTTTTAATCATTTATTCCCTCTCTTACGGAGCCCCTGCTCTATCTCTGGTGTTGTGTTAAGGCTTTACAAAGACAACTCAGGGCTCCTGCATGCATGGGAGCAGACTTGGGGCAAAAGAAACAGGTCTAAAAGCCAGGGATGCCCCTGCACGGGCCAACTGACCCATCCTGCAGCTGGGAGGTGCGCACCCACAAGGCTGGCCTTTAAACCTTACCAAAGGAGGGACAGCTTCACAGAAAGCCTGGGAGCATGAGTGCCAGGACCCTGGAGGTGGAGTGGGGAGGACAAAAACGGGAGAATGTGGCTGCTTAGGGAAGAGCAAAGCATGGGCTGCAGGTGACCAGGCAGACAGGAAGGACTGTGTGCACCTGGGCCTTTTTAACGGATGAGCATTTTCCAGTGATTCCATGAGTGCATTATGTAGTCCATTGTAGGTAGGGGAAACGAGGAGAGAAGCAGCCAGGAGCTGAGAGTGCAGCACAAAGTTGGGCCTGAAATGCACTCCAGTGGCCATGCCCAACCAAAGGTGGTAGAGGAAAAGACTCAGAAGTGGAGTGGCACGAGCCTTGAACCTAGAGGAGAGGT